GAAACCGAGGACACTCAGGGCACAGATGCCAACATGTGGTCCCGGGTTCACAAGGCTCCGAACTGGAAACTGCCTCCTTCCTGAGGTCTGTCAGGCCTGTTCCCTAGATTTTGGGCACAGGAGGGACTTGTAGTGAACACACTTCCGGGAGAAAGGAAGTGAGGGAATCTAATATCAGCGGCACCTCTGGCCCCGTGTGGTGCACCGAGTCGTCCATTCGGGATTTGCAGCGACTCAGTGATGTGGGTGCTGTGTTCCCCATTCTAGCAGAACAGCGCAGTGCACAGAGAGGTCAGACCACCTTCTCACCAGTCACTCTTTCTTAAGGGCAGGGATGAGTTTGGATTTGACTGACTCCAAGGGCTTGCATTGCTGCCCACCGGGCATGCCCGTAGGTCCCCAGTCCTTGAAGTAAAGTACATTGCTTCCTTCCTTCCCACAGCTGTTCTCGTTTTGCAGATGAGGGAGTAGGCTCAGCGATTTACTCAAGCTGAAACATCTGGCCAGTCGTGGGTTCTGCATGCTCAGGTCCTTCTGACTCTACCTCACTCTGCAGAGTAATCCTCTTATCTGCAAGTGTAAAAAATGTGCATCTAGTACACGTTAAAAGCCTTTTTTTCTTTAGGACTTTTTTTTCTTTAAGGAGTGGGCAGATCTTAAACTGTCAGATGCTTTAAATGGATATTGTTAGTACTTTAGTAACATTTGCCTTGGCAACAGTTGGAATGGGTTTTAAAAAATCATGAAAAAGCCCTTAAAGACCTCAAAGTGACTTAGTAACAAGAAATGAATACATTAGTAACAGTGCTGTGTTTGCACATTTTGTTTAGTCTTTTGTCAACAATCTTTCAAAATATAAATGTATATAGGGCAAACCAGAAAAAAGTAACATTTTGTTCTTTTGATATCAATATTCATTTGCTGCAGACACTTATGCAGCAAATGTTAGTAGACTACAGAGTTCAAAGGTTATTACCTGATGGTATTTAGTCATTCAAAAATTAGCCCAACTTTGTTCTTATTTACTAAAATCACTTCTTTAACTATGAGCTATAGCGTCTTCGGGCATGGATTTAGTCTTTTTCCATGATAAACTTTCTATCTTTTGACATATTAAAAAGTAGTGAGTTTTAGAACCATGTGTTGAAAAAGTCCTTTAAAATGATAACTAGAAGTCACCTGTGGGCATAGAATGAAGTTACTGAGCCATAGAAAAGAAAGAAAGCGTGAGCATCGTAGTACCTAGAAAGCAGGTGGAGATTCGCTTAATCTGGTCTCACGTCAGACGCTTAGAAGCATGTCCTTCTCTTTACACCAGAAATACCCCAGATAGCCCAAATCTTAGTTTATTTTGTGGAAGAATGCAGGTACAGTTTTGATCAAATAAGGAATAAGGTTTTTTAGGTACATTTTAACCAATAAACAGACACTCTAATTACTTTAAGCAGATTGCAAAGGCTGGGGAGGTTAACGGTGCCCCCGCCCCCCAGCAGCCTGACCCACTTAGCAGCAACATTACTGAGTTGGCCTTAAATGCTCTGCTCCCTTCCATCCTTTGGAGAAGATGGTGGGCACAGAGCCTCTAACGACACTAGTCCCTACTGAGTCCTTGAATCTGGAGACCTTAGCGTGGGCTTTAAGGCCCGCTTCCTCAGGAGGGCTCGCGGCAGAGGCCAGCTTGGGAAGGCGCCGCGGAGCCAGCAGGGGCCAGCAGGGGCCAGCAGGCCATCCCCGGAGCTGGCGGAGGGCTGGGAAGGAGGGAAAGCGGCCCTCAGGTACCGAGCACTTACTTGTGTTCACCCGAGTCAGGCACTTACAGGTCTTATCTCACTTTAATCCTCATGACAGCTTAAGAGCTGGAAACTGTTAATCATACCAGCGGTATGGGTGAGGAGCCTGAGGCCCGGAGGGTAGGAACTCATCCAGAGCCACCCAGCTTACGGAGCCGGGGCCGGGGCCTGAACCCCGGGAATCTGACTCATCTGTGCCCTGGCCGCTGCCCTGCACGGGTGGAAGTCAGATTAATGGGATAGAGGCATGAGCTGTGGAGAGGTGATCCTAGTGTCATTTAAATGACTGAATTTGGGGTGCCCGGGGAGTGGTCGGAAGTAGAAGGTAGTGAGTGTGTCAGGACGAGGCCACCTGAGCTTTGAGGTTCAGTGTCTGGGACGAGCCGCGGAGCCCTTGGCAGAGAAGGCGGCAGGTTGGGGGACGGCTGGTCGCCTCTGTTCTTGGGAAGCTGGAGGCTGATGTGTCGGCCAAGCATCGGAGGGACCCAGGGAGGGCGTTAGCTGCAGGAATGCGTGTGACTGAGGAGCGGGGGCTGCGGATGACGGTTTGGAGTCTTCTGTGACCTGTGATTGAAACTGGAAAGATGAGGTTGTTCGTAGAGGGAGAGAAGGGGTTCTAGGCGGAATCCAGGGTGGGGGTGGGCTGGGCCTGG